TTTTGGATCTTTCCTAGAGGAGCAAGGAAGCACTTTCCCAGAATCTTCCAGTAAACTCTCCCTTTCACTGGCCCAAATCGGGTCTCATGTTCATTCTTGAACCAATCACTGACACAAGTTCATTCCTGAGCTGGGCCTAGGCCCTGCATCTCTGACACATACTTGGTACATAGGGGATAGGGAGTGGGATGGGGGGATATACTGAAAAAACTGGATTCTATTTGGAGGAGGCTTGAGATAGGCAACTCACAACACCTGGGACAACCTGTAGGCCATTTCTGAGCTCTGACAACAAGCAGTGTGTGATGACACAGACATCAAGCAAGTATCTAGGAGGAGGGAACTGAGTGAATATGAGCATCCATCACAGGAATGTGACTGTGCCCTGACACCACCAAAAATATCTGAAGAAAAACAAATATTTAAGGAATAAAAAAGTTTATACTCACTACTTCCAATCTGAACCTACTATTACAGTTATAAACTCAGTGGCCTAACCAGAATGTGGCAGGAAGAAAAAGGGCAAAAAGTTAGATAATGCCACATCTAAAATGATACCAGTCTAAATAATTTACCTTGGTTAAGAAGCCTCACAGTGCTAAAGACACATTGTACACCTTGTTTCTTCCTTTCTTTCAGCATCCAGCACTGATGACAACTCACATTTGGGGGCTGACACAGACCACAAAACTGGGACGTTCTTCAATCCAGACCCCATGCATCTATGTTTTTACAGGCATACTAAAATACACAGCACTCTATTTTCCATATACTACAACAGAGAGTGGGTACATGCCACTCTTCTTGGTCATCCAAAACCCTAAGGTCTTTTTCTCATGAAACACTTTGCCACTAACATTTCTCCCCTCCACATTTCTCCCGTGAGTGAATTTATTTTACGTTCCGATCCCTCAATCTAAACTGTTAAGATGATCTTGATCCTGTCACATACTGTATTACCGCCAGGCCCTCCAAGTTTATCATCATCATCATCTACCAACTGATAAGATGCCACCTACATCCTGATTCAAGCAGGGTTAAAACACTAAAACAAGGTGCATGGTGGCATGCCATACAGCCCTGCCTCTGAGTGATGGATTTTTATTTACTAATGTATTTCTTTATTAGTTACTAGAGTGCTCAGCTCATCCTATGAATTACAGCAATCAAATAGGGAAGGTTTGCAACATTTCTAGAGATATTCTCAGTTAAATGATTGTCTGCAGCAAATTGTAACATGTAAAAAAAATATTAAGAATAGGTATAACTCTTACAACTCATAAATAAAAAGATAAATAATCTAGTTTAAAATTGGCAAAGGATCTGAACAGATATTTCAATGTCTACTGATATACAAATGGCCAATAAACACATGAAAGGATGCTCAACATCACTAGTCACCAAGGAAATGCAAATTGAAACCAAGAGATTAAAAAAAAAAGAGATACCACTTCACACTCACTAGGATGGCTATTAATCAAAAGTCAGATAATAACAAGTGTTGGGAAAAAAAGAAAATAACAAGTGTAGGTAAGGATGTTGAGAAATTAGAACCCTTATACACTGCTGGTGGGAATGTAAAATGGTACAGCTGTTTGGAAGTCTGTCTGGCAGTTCCTCAAGAGGTTAAACATAGAGTTACCACATGATCCAGCAATTCCACTCCTAGGTATATACTTAAGAGAAATAAAAACAAATGTCTATACAAAAAGATGTATGTAAATATTCGTAGCAGCATTATTCATAATAGCCAAAAGGTGGAGACAACCCAAATGTCCACAAACTGACAAATGGGTAATTATATTATTGGTGGCATATTGATTCAATGCAATATTATTTAGTCATAAAAACGAATGAAGTACTGATACATGCTACAACATGGATAAACCTTGAAAACACTATGCTAAATTTAAGAAGCCAGACCAGACCAGGCTGGGTGCAGTGGCTCAGGCCTCAGCACTTTAGGAGATGGAGGCAGGAGGATTGCTTGAGGCCAGGAGTTCAAGATTAGCCTGAGCAAGAGTAAGACCCCATCTCTACAAAAAATAGAAAAATTAGCCAGGCATGGTGCCCCATGCCTATAGTCCCAGTTAATCTGGAGGCTGACACAGGAGGATCACTTAAACCCAGGAGTTTGAGGTTGCAGTGAGTTATGATGATGCCACTGTACCCTAGCCTGGGCCACATAGTGGGTAGTTCCACTTATATTATGTCTAGAATAGGCAAATCTACAGAGGCAGAAAGAAAATTATTGGATGCCTAGGGCCAGGGGAGTTGGGAGGAAATAAGGAGACTGCTAATGAGTACAAGATTGTGGTGATGGTTGCCCACCTCTGTGATTATGCTAAAAACCACTGAATTGTACACTTTAAATGGATCACTTGTAGGGTATGCAAATTATATTTCAATGAAGCTGTTTAAAATAGAATAGGTGTTGAATAGAAAAGGCTAGTTTTTACCTTTCATGCTGACATACACAATGGCTAACACAGTACATATAATAACTGCCAGGAGGATAATGAGAACAATCAAGTAGCTGCTGAGCAGGGCCCCACCAGCACAGTCCAACTTCCCTCTGTGCATGAGATACAAAGTCAGAATGCCAATCCACCTGTGGGGAAAGAGGGAGGGTCAGAAACGGAATCCAAAGAGCTGCTTTGTAAAACATGATATAAAAAAAATAAAAGCAGTTAATATTTTCCAAAATAAGGCAAGGTTCACTTTGGAATACAATTTTCATCAATAAAAGATCTAATAAGTCAACTAAAGTCTATGGCTTTTTTCCTTTTTATGAGATTTATACTTTCTATGCTTACATCATAGTTCTTACCCTGTGTTTGCTGTAATCCATGAGAGGCATTTAAGGCCATAAGCAAGCAAATATAATGTGAGCTGCTGGAAAATATCTCCATTGTGACTCAGAAATACACAACCGATAAACCCACAAACAATATGTTTGCTAAATTATTTTATTTATTTATTTATTTTTTGAGGCAGAGTCTCACTCTGTTGCGCAGGCTAGAGTGCCGTGGCATCAGCCTAGCTCACAGCAACCTCCAACTCCTGGGCTCAAGCGATCCTTCTGCCTCAGCCTCCCAAGTAGCTGGGACTACAGGCATGCGCCACCATGCCCAGCTAATTTTTTCTATATATTTTTAGCTGGCCAATTAATTTATTTCTATTTATAGTAGAGACGGGGTCTCGCTCTTGCTCAGGCTGGTTTCAAACTCCTGACCTCGAGTGATCCTCCCGCCTCGGCCTCCCAGAGTGCTAGGATTACAGGCGTGAGCTTGTTTGCTAAATTATTAACAAGAGAATTTTTACTTCTTTGAATTAAGAGATTGACAAACACACATTGTATTACACTGTGTGTAATACAAAACCAAGAGGGTGGGAAGCCAGTTATGCACAGATGTTCCACAGTGAACACTGATAAACTTGAAAGAAGTACTATGGTCTCATAACTACACCTTGTAGTTCAATGCAGAACAGTGAAAGCACCAGGCAACCCAAAGCAATAACAACCCGTCATTAGAGGTATTTCAGCAGAAGACAGAACACCACTTGGCAAGAGTGCCCTATGAAGGATTCAAGCCCTATGTTTTTGTCAGTTTTGTGATATCAGGCCTTTGTATCTAGAAATAATAAAGGGGAAACGATCTCAGAAATACCTGGCCCTACCCGGGCATGGTATCATGCCTGTAATCCTAGCACTCTGGGAGCTGGATGCAGGGCGATTGCTTGAGGTCAGGAGTTCAAGACCAGCCTGAGCAAGAGTGAGACCCGTCTCTACTAAAAATTAGCCAGGCTGAGTGGTGTGTGCCTGTAGTCCCAGCTACTCAGGAGGCAGGATGAGGCAGGAGGATTGCTCGAGCCCAGGAGTTTGAGGTTGCTGTGAGCTAGGCTGACCCCACGGCACTCTAGCCTGGGCAACAGAGCAAGAGACTTTGTCTCAAAAAAAAAAAAAAAAAGAAAGAAAGAAAGGAAGAAAGGAAAGAAAGAAAGAAAGGAAAAGAAAAGAAATACCTGGCCCTGAAAACTATAAAATTCGGAGAAGCAACCCAAAACATTTTATGTTTTTATATTCCTTTCCCTCAAGAATCCACTATTTCATAACAATATTATTTGGTGCTGAGACCCTCTAGGAACAGACAGCAAGCACCAATGCCCCCTCCCACTGACTCCACACTTGGAAAAAGCGTATATGTCGAGCCTGTCTGCTTCTCATGAAATTCTGCCACAACAGGCTCAAGAATGAATGGCGCTGAAAGGCAATTTTTTTTCTCTCTATTTTGCAGATATGATATAGGTGCTTTGCTTTCCCATGAAGAGGGACCGAATGACGCAAGTGGCTACTCCTGGCTCGAGGAAGGAGACCTCGAGCCATGGCTTTTGGTCAGCAATAATGTTCTCGTGGCTCTCAGGGCCAGGTCACAGAGCTGCACACGGAGGGGTGCTAGTATCCTGCAGCGCAGACTTCAGGGCTTCCGCTGTGTGACCCCGGGAACGACCCACCCTCTCTGGACCTCAGTTGCCATCCGTAAAAAAGGGACAGCACCAGGACCTGCCTCCTCGGGGCAGATAAGAGAATGCACGTCAGGCGCTTGGATGGCGTCCGCGCTCAGGAAGCTGGCCACTTTTGCCAGGGGACAGACAGCTTGCCCTCAGCTCCCTCCTCAGCGCGGTCCAGCCGCCCTCAGAGCCGGCCGTCCTTACCACAGCACTCGCACGAACAGCTCGAACAACCCTGGGAAGACCAAGTCGTCGCTGGCGATGGCCCAGCGCCGGCCGAAAAGCACCATCCCGGGCATGGCGAAGGTTCCGCCGTCCGGCCTCAGGCCAGCCACAGCGCGCCGGTCGCCACTGTCAGCCCCGCGACCTCAGGACTCCGCCGCCAAACTGACCGCGGCTCCGCGCAGGCTTATGCGAGGGCGGTGTCCTGCGCATGTTCGTTCTGAGGCCGAGGCTGGCGCACGCGCCCTGAGCCCGGCGCCGCCGCGGCTGCCAGAGCCTTCTGAGCCTGCGCAGATACGCTGACCCGGAAGCCGCTGGCTGACTTTATCGCAGGTCTGTGGGTGTCTGAATTCCATTCTGGTAATATTTCCATGTTATAGGTAAGGATTCTTAAGGCTCGGAGGAATTAGCTATCCTAGAGACCCACGGCTATTAATGGCGGCTCTGGGACTCATATCAGGTCTGTGAGACTTCCAAGCGTGTGACGATGCTGCCTTCTGTGCCCCCTTGTAAGGTGTCCCTTGTTAGGACCCTCCTCGTGTTCTGGGCCTGAAACTCCACCCCACACCTGGCAGGGTAGGGTCCGACCACTTCTCAGTACCCCCCCTTTCCCACCCTGCTCTGAACCACCTTCATCTGTTGCCTGGGCTTATCACCGCACTGCCCTTCCCTTATTCTGCCCTAGCCCCTACAGCAGCCAGTGTGACCACGTGGAACATTAACACGCAGCCTGTTCTCTGCCTAGGGCCATGCAAGGCTGCACTTTGTGCATAAAATACACTTCAACCCCTCGCAGAGGCCGTTCCCTGATAGTCACACGTCACAAGTTTGTGATTGTTTATCTGGTCCCTGGGTTAGGGTTAGTACTCTCCCCTTCCATCACCCTACTGCCTGCCGCCTTTCCCCCCTTGAAATACATTAAGGACATTCTTGCTCCAAGACTTTTACATTCCCTGTTTCCTCTGTCAGGAATGTTCCTCCTGCAGGTATCTCTGTATCTTTCTCTCACTTTAAAGCCAGCTCAAGTGTCCCTGCCTCAAAGAGGCTTTCCCTAATCACCTTCTTAAAACAGCTCAGGTCAGTTCCTATTCCTTATCCTGCTTTAGTTTTCTTTATTGCACTTAGTCACTCCCTGACATTATATGTTTATTATCTCTCTTACTCCCTCCTTCAGAGGGTAAGTTTCATGACTGTAGGCACCTTGTTCACATAATGCACATAACATAGCACATTATAGACACTTATTAAATACATGATGAATGAATAACCTCATTAAACACATGTCAGGATAAAGTGGAGGGATCAAGAGGCCCTGGGCAGGATGGAAGTTAGTGTAATGGCAGGGCTTGGGATGGAGAAGAGGGAATCCAGAAAACCACCCCAAGATTGCAAGGTCAGTGGGCAAATGTATTTTTAGATAAGGATATTTCATCAGGCTTGATGAACATTCTGGAAATGGAGGACACCTCCCATCTGGTGAGGTATACTGGGCTTTTTTCTGCATACCCAACACTGCATTCTTCAACTTAAACTTCATTTACACCAAATTTTAGCCTGTCCTTGACAGGCAGCATCACCAATTTTCAAAATCAAAGCCCCTTTGCACAGGAGGTCCTCCAACTATCCTGTCATCAGTGAGCTACAGGGGAGCATTTTTGTCATTCCTGATCCTCTGATAGGTTCTCTGATATGTTCTGATTGTCTCTTAACCAAACAGAGTATTAATTAGGCTTCTGCTGTGTTTGCAGAGCTTGGGCTGAATGCTGAGAAGAAGCCAGATGATTAATTCATGAACTAACCTTAATACACTCTGGGGATGAGACTTGAGCTGGTGCCTCAAAGAGGGATAAGATTTGGAAAGTCAGTGTGACTTTGGGCAAGGTACTTCATCTCAGCTAAGCCTGTTTCCTCATCTATAAAGTGGGTATTAAGTTAACAGTACCTATTATAAGCATTTATAGGATTGTTCCAAAAAGTAGATGTGATAATGTGTGGAACATGCCACGACAGTCCCTGAAGCACAGTAAGTATCCAGCAGTTCCTAACCAGCAGCAACTGCTGCCCCTGTGTGGGTCTGCTGCACTGCCCCTAGATTCTGCTTGTAAGGAGACAAGAAGCCCAAATAGATACAGTTCATTATTTATGCAGTCAGGAAAAGCAAGATCAACATGGTGTCAGTTCCACATGACTTGTTCCATAAGACAACATGAAAACACAGGGTCCAGATGACAGACAACATGAAGGAGACTGTTCCATAGCACAGCTAAGCAGTTTGATAGCCTGCAGCTATACCCTAAGTGGGCCAAGTTGGAAAGGCAGGCCCTTGCCTCACCAGACCCAGAGAGGCTCATGAGAAATTGCCTTGTGACAGGCTCTGCTCGCAAGAAGTGGCCCTGCGGCAGCTTCTCACGAAGCTGCACATCTCTTGTTTTCCAGGTAAGCTTATAGGGTATTCTGCCAAGACTTGGATTAGACTGTGGTTGAGTCTTGCCTACATGGCCTATGTGGAAATGTGCAGAGTCACCAGGGTGCCATGGTGGAGCTGTTCCCCTGCAGTAAGCACTCAACTGTTAGCCCTTATTAATACTGTTATTATTCCAGGAGGAGCAGCCAGCATAAAGGCCATTGAAGCTAGCCTTATGACATTTGGCTTTTGTGTAGTTAGCAATAGGGATCCTTGACTAGAAAAAATTAAGATGAACTCAAGGTTGAAGAAGACAATTTAGTGAGGTGGTAGGCAGAAAGAATTAGGAAAGTGTAGTCCAGTGGAAATATAATGTGAGGCACATATAAAGTTTTATATTTTCTATTGGCCACATTTTAGAAAGTAAAAAGAAATTGGTAAAATTAGTTTTAATAATATATTTCATTTAGACTAGTATATCCAAAAATATTACCATTTCAACATGTAATCAGTATATTGATAAAATCACTAAGGAGATTTACATTCTTTCTGTCATCCCAAGTCTTTGGAATCGGCATGTGTATTACACTTTCAGCATATCTCATTCTGGATGCTAACTTTTCAGTGGTTAAAGTAAAATGTAGTCCTACCAAAACAATAAACTTGTGTTTCAGAGAATATTATTTTATACTGCTTCATTTAAGTTTCAGATAAAATTAAAAATCAGTTCTTCAGTTGCACTAGCCACATTTCAAGTACTCAATATCTTGAGGTCAATATCTTCCCAAGGTGGAGTTCTGGATTCCAACCAACTTCAGATCCTACTAAAGGCCCAAATGGCCCAGCTCCAACTTCGTCTTCACCAGTTTCCTCATGCAAAGTCTCTCTATGCCTCATCTTTAAGTGGGGCTAATAATAGTATTTTGTAGCTAATATTTGTAGAGTGTTCAGAGCAGTGCCTGGCATGCAATGAGACTATGTTTGGAGAAGAAAAGTTTCCTAAGCAGTTTCCTTATCTGTAGTGGAGAGGATAATCATTCCTAGTCCCCAAGATTCGGCCAGAGCTGTATAAACCCTTGTGGATGGCACTTAATAAATATTAACCCCTTCTCTCCTGCAGAAGTCAGTCCACGTAACCAGTCATTTAAATGTATTTTGATGGTTCTCACTTCTGGACAGTGGTGGGGCAGCTAAGACTAGAACCACATTCCTGGATTTGATGGCAGACACAATCACTCCACAAAAGTGATGGCTTACAATTCATTCAAAGTGAATATTTGCTTTAGAGTGAAGGCCAGGATATAAATAATAGTGGGAGTGACCTTAGTGTGCATTTACCATGTGCCTAACACTGGACTGCATGGTTGTATACGTACAGTCTCCTTTGCTTCCTTCAGCCCTCTGTGAAGTGGGACAGCTAGAAGCCCCATTTTTCACATGAGGAAACCACTAGGGACTGGCCGATCCTAGTCATCATAGAGCTGGCTTTCCTGTCTGGTTAGGGTTGATTGTTCAATTTTCAGGAATTCTGTGTTCTGGTTATTAAATATAGCCACTTTTAAAAAATTATATGAATTTATAATTAAATATAAAAGACACAGTTTATAAATTCTTCAAAATTCATCACTTCCTCATTGTTTTAGCACATTTTACTATTGTTTGTGCTCTTGAGGTTGTATTTATAGTAGCTATATGGTGGAAATACTATATAATGGTGTGCTACTGCATTTCTCTTCCCAACTTTGTGTTCAGTAATGTCATGTTGGTAGCTGGAACACTACAAATGGGGATGTGATTTGTTGTTGATTTTCCAGACTTAAGGAAATGGACAAAATGTTAATAATGTGGATTAAACTTAAAAGGGTGTTATGTCCGGTAGCCATTATATTGTGAGTAGTACAAAGAGTTGAGGAAATAATCTTCCAGTATTTGAAAACTATTACCTGTTTGAGCAAAGAAGTTGCTTTACCACAGATAAAAGAGTGAAGTCCCGACATATGTCTTGTTTCACTTTCCTCTTATTCCTTAAAGGAAAATATCAGCCATCTGTGGAGCAGTACACTCACTCATTAGTTGCAACCATAGGTGTCTATGGATGTGAAATACAGGTAAAAATCAACTATTCTGTGAGAATTGATAGGCTATATGTAATTTATAATAAAGAATATTATAACATATTATTATTTGTAAATTATATGCTACACATGCAGCAAAGGATTAAAACAATGGGCCTGGGTTGTTTAAACAGTGCAGTTTCCAAAGAAAGGATTGGCCCTTGACCTGTTCCTAGGAGATAACTCCTAAGCCCTTGGAATATTCTTCCTGGTAAGAGTGCATTTATATACCTGGGGCCTTGGGCAGCATCACATAGTTGATGCTAGCAGTGCAGTTGATGGTGAGAGCGTTGGGAGATGCTGTATCAGTTTGACCTCTGGGTATGGGGACTGGAGACTGACTAGGTGAGATCAGTCACACAAGTTTTCTGTGCCTACATGACTGATGCCCAATAAAAACCCTGGACACCAAGGCTTGGGTGTGCTTCCCTGGCTGGTAATACTTTGTGCATGTTGTCATACATTTTTGCTAGGAGAATTAAGCATTGTTTATTTGACACCACTGTGAGAAGACAACTGGAAGCTTGTACTTTGTCTCTCCTGGACATTGTGCTGTGCACCTTTTTCTTTTGCTGATTTTAATCTATTTAAACAAACAAATCTGTAACAAACTATAACCATAACAGCTTTTCTGAGTCTGTGAGTGCTAATAAATCACTAAACTGGAGGGTAGTTTGGGGAATCTCCAACACAATATCCTTTATATCAGTAAAACTTATTATAATAAATGCATGTATATATGTACGTATTAGTTTTTTGAAGAGCCAGTTACTAAATGTCACATCATGCACCATACTGTATTCTCAAAACTTGGCTGTTGCTGGTGAATTTTAAGCCTTTAGTTATATGGTTTAAAAATTGAGACAATCTGCAATTTGCAGACCTTGTTTGGACTTGATTCAAATGGACAAACGACAAAAATATTTTTTTGAGACAGAGTCTTGTTAGAGTGCAGTGGCATCACCATAGCTCACTGCAACCTCAAGCTCCAGGGCTCAAGTGATCCTCCTGCCTCAGCCTCTCAAGTAGCTGGGACTACAGGTGCACACCACCATGCCCTGCAAATTTTTTCTAGTTTTAGTAGAGATGGGGGTCTCACTCTTGCGCAGGCTCAGGCTGGTCTCCAACTCCTGAGCTCAAGTGATCCTCCCACCCTAGCCTTCCAGAGTGCTTACAGGCATGAGCCACTGCATCCTGCCTAAAAAGATGTTTTCGAGACAATCAGAAAATTTGAACAGAGACTATTAGATGATATTATCTATTGGTGTGATAAGTCTTCGTCAGTTAGAAATACCTTTTGTAGTATCTACAGATGAGATACGTTATCTAGGATTTTCCTTTTTTTTTTTTTTTTTTTTTTGAGACAGAATCTTGCTTTATTGCCCAGGCTAGAGTGAGTGACATGGCGTCAGCCTAGCTCACAGCAACCTCAAACTCCTGGCCTCAAGCGCTCCTACTGCCTCAGCCTCCTGAGTAGCTGGGACTGCAGGCATGTACCACTAATTAGCATGCCCAGCTAATTTTTTCTATATATATTAGTTGGCCAATTAATTTCTTTCTATTTATAGTAGAGACGGGGTCTCGCTCTTGCTCAGGCTGGTTTTGAACTCCTGACCTCGAACAATCCACCTGCCTCGGCCTCCCAGAGTGCTAGGATTAGAGGCATGAGCCACCATGCCTGACCTAGGATTTTCTTTAAGTTACTCAAAACTTGAAGGGGAGATAAAACAAATGGAGGTTATTTCAGTATTCTCTCTACTTTTATGTATGTTTGAAAATAAAGTTTATTTTTAAATGATACTTGTTCAACTTTGCCCATCTTTATAATTATAAATGCACAAACATATGATATGAACGTGTGTCATACAAATGTACAACTGAAACTCTGAACCACCATTGATTCAGAAGTTAATAGGCTGGGCACAGTGGCTCATGCCTATAATCCTAGCACTCTGGGAGGCTGAGGTGGGCAGATTGCTCAAGGTCAGGAGTTTGAAATATATACAAAAAAAAATTAGCCGTGCATGGTGGCGCATGCCTGTAGTCCCAGCTACTAGGGAGCTGAGGCAGTAGGATCGCTGAGCCCAGGAGATTGAGGTTGCTGTGAGCCAGGCTGACGCCACGGCACTCACTCTAGCCTGGGCAATAAAGCAAGATTCTGTCCCAAAAAAAAAAAAAAAAAAAAAGAAAATCCTAGATAACGTATCTCATCTGTAGATACTACAAAAGGTATTTCTAACTGACGAAGACTTATCACACCAATAGATAATATCATCTAATAGTCTCTGTTCAAATTTTCTGATTGTCTCGAAAACATCTTTTAGGCAGGATGCAGTGGCTCATGCCTGTAAGCACTCTGGAAGGCTGGGTGGGAGGATCACTTGAGCTCAGGAGTTGGAGACCAGCCTGAGCCTGCGCAAGAGTGAGACCCCCATCTCTACTAAAACTAGAAAATTTGCAGGCCATGGTGGTGTGCACTGTAGTCCCAGCTACTTGAGAGGCTGAGGCAGGAGGATCACTTGAGCCCTGGAGCTTGAGGTTGCAGTGAGCTATGGTGATGCCACTGCACTCTAACAAGACTCTGTCTCAAAAAATATTTTTGTCGTTTGTCCATTTGAATCAAGTCCAAACAAGGTCTGCAAATTGCAGATTGTCTCAATTTTTAAACCATATAACTAAAGGCTTAAAATTCACCAGCAACAGCCAAGTTTTGAGAATACAGTATGGTGCATGATGTGACATTTAGTAACTGGCTCTCAAAAACTAATACGTACATATATACATGCATTTATTATAATAAGTTTTACTGATATAAAGGAATTGTGTTGGAGATTCCCCAAACTACCCTCCAGTTTAGTGATTATTAGCACTCACAGACTCAGAAAGCTGTTATGGTTATAGTTTGTTACAGATTTGTT